TACTTTATCGCCCGTAATTTCACGCAAAACTATGCGAAAAATACTCAAATTTTCGGTAAAATTAGTGTCTTTGTTTCCACCAAAAGTTCAGTAGTTATTGAATAATTATCAGTCTACAGTATCAAGCTTGAATAAAATGAACAATATAAGTAAAATAATAAAATGTATAATATAAATAAATAATAATAATGTATGCGTTTTATTCAATAGTTGTATTTTTACAAAGTTGTAAAATAAATTTATTAGCAGTTTCGTGCTTGGGGGCCAAGAACACTGACAATGTTTGAATAGATTAAATAAAATGTTTTGCTTTAGAACCAATACTTTGAGATGCTCTCCTGTAAAATTGTCTACAAATCTGCGAAGCAGATAGAACCTTTTTAATTTAGTGTCGCGGTATGACTTTATCCCAAAAGGTAGAATAACATTCCAAAACACGAATGGAAGAAGCAGCAGCAGCGAGGAGGGGAGTAAAAGGAACAAGAAATGGAATGCGGATGGGCAGAGGGCACTGCATCGACCTTGCGCGATCAGAGCATGTGGCGGGGGCGGGCACCACGTCACCGCAGCTGGCGACGCCGCCCCCGCGTACACAAGTGCGGGGCGGGGCAAAGCAAGGCAAGGCAGCACAGAGCCAACCTGAGCCATGCATTATGCCAACCACCCACAAAGGTCAATTCAGGGTTGATACAGAAAGGAATATTGCAGAAATCAATGAATTCTGCGATAACTGAATCTTTCCTTTTGTGTGTGACTGCCGCGATGAATGGACGGATGCGGAAGGCTATTTAGATTGTAAAGGATGCAATACCTCCAAAGAAGTAGAAAAAAATTAGTTTGAATACAGCTCTGCCAGAGTTGAAAAGGCGACAACTATAATCTCGAGCTGCCACTAGACTTCGTGGACACGCATGCACGAGCTGACTATTTCGAAAAGAAACTTCCCACCGAGCGTATACGGGTATTCGGATAGATTTCATCAATAATGTACAGTACTATTAAATGTAGGACGACGGTATAAAATTCATGTTTACGTGCATTTTAACCAAAGTTCGTATTTTTTATCATTACTCTCGACAGCCATTGGTGGCTTTGCTAGTGTTTCAATCAAATGCGTTCAAGGAAACAGCTGCAGATAAGCAAGGAATGATTCGCTTCGTCAGCAATTCGAAAGCTAGAAATGCAGTCCTTTGCTTTAAGCCCCAATGCAGACAATTTTTTCCTATCTAAATTCAAAATAATTAAAAAAAATAAGAATATAAGAACTCTGAAAATTTTAAGAAAATAAAATGAATTGCAAAATAATCATTATTTTTATTTCGTTAAAACAAACCTGGGGTTCTAATGATAACATTCGAAGAGCAAGTGTCTCATAACTAAAAACCATTTCCTTTTCCAAACGATTTTTTAAAATATAATAACGCCAACAAAAACGAAAACAGGGATTATAAATTTTACTGCATTGAGATGTTCTTTACATCCATTCGTTCGTTTTATATCTATTGGAGTTCGTCCACTGGAGTAAGTACACACGATCATTTTCACGAGAGGTGGCTCAGTGCAACTGATGTCACGACCTCTGACCGGGAGTCCCGACGACGGCAAGATTTTCGACACTAGCTTGTCAGCTAGGTCAAATTCAGCCGCTGTCTGGCGGAGGATTCTAGCGTCCGGCTGCTCTGATCGGTAGTTTTCCGGGGTTTCCCCGAATAACACCAGGCAAATGCCGGAGCAGTACCCTAACGGACCACGGAACGCGCGCTATCTTCATTCCTCTTCCTTGTCCTACCTCGCTCCTTACACACACTACCATGCACTACACTACCACACATGCCTGAAGACCGGTCGGGGGCTTAGAGCTAGTCCCCGCAAGAGGGAAATCCCACTAGCCAACGGTAGGGGATCTCGCCATCCAGCATGGGAAAGGTCACCGCCCCCCCCATCAAAAACACGCACAACTCTTACGTGACCAATGACCTCAGAAGTTGACCAATGACCTCATAATTGAATAACTAACAATCAATCAAACATTACGCCCTGAGGAAGGTCGCAGAATGGCGACCGAAACGTCGTCACCTTCGTCATGGACGCGGCGTCACCCGGACAGCCAAGTAAATACTGACTCCGGCCGCGAAAGCCTATGCTCTCAATCAGCCAAACAACACGATCATTACGATCATTTTCACAGCGAATGCCGAGGAAGAAACTCAAACAACGGGTTGCCGACAGCGATTTTTCTTTCTTGTCTCCACCTTCCGATCCTCAACGGGGACGAATCCAGTCGTTTTTGTTGTTTTTTTAAGGGGGGGGAGATTATACCCTTTTGTTAAATAGTAAACATATATATTATTGTATTGTATATTATTTTTGTAGTGTACAATGATAATATACAATGTTATTTTTTAAATTATATAATCCTAACATAAATATTCAAATCAATTTTGCCAAATGAAGGATGGTAACAAACAAAAACTCTGAGCATTGGGGGGAGGGGTCAAAAACACCCCCTGGAAAGTTTATATATATACCGAGATTTCCCCTTTCATGGTTTTTGCTACTGACGCAAAAAGTTCACAAATTTTCCTTTTATCCAACGAATATTTGCGAGAAGTTTGAATTTCCTTTTACAGTTTTGTAGTAAACAATATTAGGTTCCTATTAATGGCACTTGAAATATTGAGACTCCTCAGCTTGAAGTAACTACTTGCACTTATTGCATCCAATTGGACAGAACATATAAGTCCGGACTAGGTCACTATGCTATGTACAACACTTTGAGTTTTCTTCTATTAGACAACTTTGGTGATCCTATTACATACGTTCAGAATACACGATTTACTTCTAGAAGTTACATTATTTTTATTTACAATATTTATTATTTTATTCCAGTTTTACATCGTTAAAAAACAACTGTCTGATACCCAAAATTCTTATACTTTATACCATTTTAATTTTATTTTTCCACGTATCATATTCTTCATATTCCTTTCCATATATATATATATATATATATATATATATATATATATATATATATATATATAATCTTTCATACTCCATAAAATTATTTTAACCAGCTATTTGTAGATGTTTTCTATTTTCTTACTACCTATATTAAACCACTCTAAAATGATTTTTTTTCCTTTTTTTTCTGTCATTCCTTTAGCAACTCCAAACCACTACAATGGTTAATATTGAATATTGTCTAAAATTGTATATTCCTTATTTTATCTCTTATAATTTCCTTTCTTATTTTATCTAAATTTCATAAACTGAATGACCTTACAAAATCAGTTTCTGTTGCCAGTAATTTTAGTTTTAAATTTTTCTTTAATTTCCAATTTTCTGATCCACATAAAACAGTACTTTCTATAATGGATTATATATATTCTTCATTTAGTTTCTTTTTTTATGTGAATCGTCCAATGCAGAAAGGGTACAGCTTACATTTTCACAACTTTACGGGAGATAGAAACAACTATTTCCAAGAAGACTTATCAATATTTTATTTCGTAACTTTTTCTGCAGATACATTTACAGTATCTGAACGTCATATACTTCAAAATATATTAAAATATGTTTTAAAATCGTTGACATTACAAAAAAAAATAATTGAAAAATGTACCATTTATTGCACTGGATGGGTATTACATGATACCTTCTCACGATAATATTTCTGACAATGCTTAAGGCGGCTCCACACATGAGGCATTCGCGGAATCCTGAGCAACCGCTCGCCGAATACCGCATAGTGTGGACAGGTTGCTCGCAACTCGCCGACCGCCGAACATTCGGTATTCGCCCTCAGAAGGTGCGAACATTCGCCGAACACATCAGCTGTTCGAGATTGGGCAAGCAGTACCTCGTTGCTCGTCGAATTCCGAATAGGTGGAGTCGCCTTTACATCACAAATATGATTTTATTCTCATGTCAACACATAGTTTAAAAAAAGTTAGTGGGGAATGATGTCAAAAAATAATTTTTGCTAGAAGTTAAAAAATTGTATTTTTTTTATTCAAAGGTTTTGTAGTTCGTAACTTTTTACCATAATGTAATGCCTTTGCAAGTGTCTTGAATATCTTTTGTGAACAAATTATTGTAATAACATAAAATCTCATCTAGATTATGTTGTGGCGTGTTAAAACATTTCAATCGATATTTTACAATCTTCACGTGCTTTCTCTATGGAATTATTGCTCCTTAGAATTCACAAAACTTTGTCCACATAACCTAACCGTTTCTTAATAACAGTCCTCATCCAATGAATTAAACTTCTTGCCTTCGT